ACAATACATTTTATCTGTAGTTGAAAGCATAGATTTGCGTTCAAAATGTATTTATTTAATGCCCTAAAATTGTGAACAAAATATTTAGATTATTTACTTTGTTCGTACTATTGTCGTCATCTTTGTCACCATATTTATTACAACGTTTCGGCCATTATACACTCCGACCTTCTTCACGTGGTTGGAATGTCGAACTGAACACTTTATTTCGCTCAGTAGGGTAGACGGTTAAGGCAGTGGAGACCTTGGAGAGGGCAATTAACAGGAGATAACTGATAACTGACATCCATTAAAACATGACACGTGGAACTAGAACAGTCTACCCCAGTGAGCGAAATAAAGGGTTCAGTTCGACATTTCAACCAGCTGACGAAGGCCGGAGCGTACAACGGCCGAAACGTTGTAATAAATATGGCGACAAAGATGAGGACAATAGTCCGAATAATGTAAATAATGTACATAATACCTCATCTCAGAAATAAAGACATACTGAAGGGCCGAAACGTTGTAATAAATATGGCGACAAAAATGAGGACAATAGTCAGAATAATGTAAATAGCGTGCATAATACCTCATCTCAGACATATAGACAAAGTATTTAGATTTTGGCATTAAATATCAATCAACCAATTCTACCCCCCCCCATAGTGATCAGAAAAAAGAAATTATAAAAACACTAGAAAAAGTGAATAAAATAGATTAATCAAATTTTCCTTGTCCGTCATATCCAATGACACACATATAAAAGAATGATTGCTACACACACACACACACACACACACAAACACACACACACACACACACACACACACACACACACACACACATATATATATATATATATATATATATATATATATGTGTGTGTGTGTATGTATCACATTATGAAATGGACAAAGTTCGACAATTATAAGTATGTATGTATGCATGTATATATGTATGTATGTATGTATGTATGTATGTATGTACCTACTAGGGATAGAAACATAAGTATGGCCAAATAAACAGAAAGATACTTTAGTATAGGGATCGATAGATAAAGAGCCAGATCTATAATTAACTATGAACTGAGTGAAATAGCTAGACATGATACATTCCGATCGATAGATATATCTACTTTTCGAAATAATTTTCTTACTTGATATGTCAAAATATCAAAACACATGCTCTCACCAGAAAGTAACATTATAGCAACCAGTCTTCAAATTATGAATTCAAAAGACATCTGCTAATGGCGTTGGTAATATTAGCCGTTTTATTACAAGGAAGTGTTAATCAAGTGAGGCTTTTCTTTTATTCATTCATCATATTGTAGTATCTGTTCGTATCATCTTTTATTTTAATGATAATATTAACCTTTTGCTTAAAAATTCCAATGTCTTGGGTTGTAATTTGTAAAACCTTTTAAAACAATTTTTCAGCAAAATATGATTCGCATGTCTACATACTTTTATCGCTCTTTCCAGTATTGATGTGGCGGAGGGTGGGACGTTCTTGCTTTCAAACGTTTTGATTGATCGTCACAATCTTGATTGTATTCTTATTTTCTCTTTGAATCTGCTATCCATTTTAGTTGCATCTAATGTTGAAAGTCTTCAATTTATGTGATTTCTGTTACTTTATACGGTTCTTTGTTTAAGATTCTGTAGCGTCAGTCAACGAAGTCCTGAAAAGGATGGTCCACTTTATGATCTACAGGATTCATTCTCAGAACTTTTTAATCTCTGATCTAAGAAAGCTGTTGTGTACGTCTCTCTTTCTCTGTATATACATACATACATACATACATATATATATACATATATATATATATATATATATATATATATATATATATATATATATATATGTATCGGTATTTTACTGTTAAGAAAGCATTTTAGGCGGGCAGTTATTCGCCATAAACTGCTCTTTATCAAAAGATAGGTATACAGCGTTTATAGAATTAATGCGGAGAAACTTATAACTTAACAGAGGGATGTTGATTCAGTCATGCCGACTTCGAAGTTTCGTGAGCGTATTGCAGTAATGCTTTTCACTCATCAGAGAAGCCAACAGTCCTGAAGAATGAAAGCATTACTGAAATGCGCTCACGAAACTTCGAAGTTGCCATGACTGAATCAACATCATTTTAGTTAAGTGATAACTTTCTCCATGTCAATTATATACATATATATATATATATATATATATATATATATATATATATATATATATATATATATAGTCATCCACAGAGAGTTTCCCAGCTCATCAGTGTGTCTAAACATCCGAATGCTTCAATCCGTGGTCTTTCTAGGTTCTCGGTTGGGATAAATACGAAGTTTTGTTTATTTATTTTATCATAAACACGCCAGTGACCTCGAGAACTCAATGTCATATATATGGTGTAATATATATATATATATATATATATATAGTGACGTGCCAAAAGTCTTGGGCCGGCTATATGTACAGGCAATTGCAGATGGCACTACCATAGCTGGACATTATGAAAATATCAAACCCTATATCACTTTTGAACAGACTATTGAGAAGGTTGTGCAAGATAAAGCAAACTGAAATATAAGAGTTTGGTCAAGACAAGATATTGGGAAACAGACGAATGATTCAATCGATTTCCAAAATTTTACAAGCATTTTACATGCCTTAATACCCGGTGTCACGTGTGAATTATTAATACCTGATGCCCAATACTATTACAAATTTGGAAAAAGGTCAACATCAGCCGTAGGCATTTATCAATAATGGGGTCAGATTTTCGAACTTGACATTTATAAATATAAACAAAGTTTTCATATTCTTTTTCATTCCCAGTAAGCCACTTGCGTCTTAGTGGTATTATTACCTTGCTTGATGTGAAATGAGTTTCAAAATGCAGATATAACACATTATGAAATCAGTGATCGATTTCAGACTGTATTCATATAATGAACAGTGCACCACTTCGTATAACATGACGAAAAAAATCAATTTTTATGGTTCTAGCAAATGTCGTAGGTAGAGTAAGGTCTAACGAATAAGAATCTCTAAAATGTCTTCTCCCCAACTTTCTTCAGGGAACAAGTTTAATAACGATGAAGTAATAATTTAATAACTTTAGTAGAATAAATTATTAATGTTGGGGAATATTTTAATGAGTTTAATAACGTTAGTGCAATAATTTTATAAATTTAATTATGTTGGGGAATAATTTAATAATTTTGATAATGTTGGGGGCATAATTAAATAAGTTTAATAATGTTAGGGAATAACTTACTAAATTTAATAACGTTGGAGTAATAATTTAATAAGGTTAGTAGAATAAATTATTAATGTTGGGGAATAATTTAATGAGTTTAATAACGTTAGCGCAATAATTTTATAAGTTTAATAATGTTGGGGAATAATTTAATAAGTTTAATAATGCAGGGGTAATAATTTACTAAGTTTAATAACGTAGGAGTAATAATTTAATAACGTTAGTGGAATAAATTATTAATGCCTGGGAATAATTTAGTGGGTTTATTAATGTTTGTGCGATAATTTAATAAGTTTAATAATATTGGGGAATAATTTAATAATTTTAATAATGTTGGGGGAACAATTTAATAGGCTTAATAATGTTGGGGCATGATTAAATAAGTTTAATATTGTTGGGGACATAATTTAATAAATTTTATAATGTTGGGGAATAATTCAATAAGTTTAATAATGCTGGGGAATAATTTAATAAATTTGATAATGATGGGGAAATAATTTAACAATCTTATAATGTTGGGAGAATAATTTAATAAATTATAATATTGTTGGGGGGATTAATTTAATAATTATTTTTTACGAACGGACGAATTACTTTAATTAGTGCCAGCAACACTTTATTTTTGATTCATGCTAGAATTATTTTATTTAATTATAACGACTGCAGGAGTTGCCGCGAGATTTTCAGTGTAGACAACCAGGCCTCTTCGGGGCTCCAGTCCGGATTATCTGTCTGGATTTCCAGGTAGGGATATGATTGTAATTCAACGGTTGTTTAAAATCAGAGTTTCCCTTTTAGATAGACTGCCTTCCCGGGTTGCTCAGCTTCATCATCAGTGTAACAGTATATTACATATCGAAATCTATCTTTTCATCTAACACGGCGTCAGACTAAACTCTTTAGAGTTGGCTCGTAACTAGTCTAGGACAGCTCTGAATTCAAAATTGTTTGAGATTGGGCTGATTATCCTTTCCCATAAAAGGTACTTGCTACAGAAACTAGTGCAACAACACCTCGAGGTGTGAGTTTGTGCCCATATTCTTACGCAGAGGAATCTAATGGCTCTAAGGTGCGGGGAAAGAGGGTGATATTATATTCTATCAGCTGTTTGGGCCGGAGGCAACACTATAGCAGACACTATTTGTCTTGTGAACCGTAAGTGCCAACCACGAAATTTACGTTTGGCTGGCACAGTGAAAAAAATATATTGAATATGTATGTTGATTAGCTTGTTAACCATTACTTAACGGATGCGCGTGTTTTTAGGCGTTTTTATAATGTTAATACATAAATAAGTCAGACGAGCAATAATGATTTATATCTCAAACAGATTTTCTACGCAAAATAAGGGAATGTTTACCAAATATTAAATTTTGTTGATATTTTGTTCACAATCAAATATTAACAAGATCGTTCCTTAACTTTTGTCCAGTAGCTTATTTCCTTTGTTGCATTTAATCTTTATTTAAAAAAAAAAAAACTATTATGCAAAATTTGTAACTTTGTATAATATTTATGCATTACACCCTAATCTTTATTCGGTAAAAATTTCATTGCTAATCATGCATTACTTTTTAAGTAATACACATATTTATGTCTTTGTTGTTTCCGTTCCGTATATAATGGCCGCTACTGTACATCCAAACTTACAGGACCTGATATTCCAAAGAGGTTACCCAACTAGGTACTAACAAGGTTCGCCAATGCTTAACTTCGGTGATCGTACTGGAATCGGTGTTTCAACATGATGTGGTCGTAAGCTCAAAATGCTGATAAGCCATAAAAAAAAGTCAGTTTATCTGGAATAGAGTTCCCCAGAACCTAAATACTATCACTGGAAAATAATTAATTGTTACAAAAGATACCGGACAAATAAGAAGACAAAGAGCGTATTATTTAAACGCAATTTTAACGTCGGTTGAAGGTTCACAGGAAAAGTAGGACAAATTTGTTATAAAGGAATAAAGTGTCGCTGCCGACACTTGCGTTTGAACATAGATCGCCAGTGAACAAACACAGGCGATCCCATTATTGAATTAAGTAGACCATGTGACCATAGAGGAAACGCATATATATATAGGAAGTCGCGTAACCTCTAAATGATCTCCATTTCTAGTCTATCCTCTATTACTATTCGGATCACTATTTCTAGTCTATCCTCTATTACTAAACGGACCACGATTCTCTACTCTATTCACTACACTATTTCTCTATTCAGATCACTGTACGCTGATTACTTTTCGAGCGAGTATTATCGAGCAAGTATTATTAGTGCGAGTGTTATTCGAAGGCGTCTGACACCAGTATTGTTCAACGGCGTTACTATAGTTATATCTGCGATTACAAAGTTTCTACTACAACGAGCATTACGAAAGTGACAGCGAGTATTCGTTGGCATAAAAAAAAGTGTCAAACGAGTGTTCGTTGATACCACAAAAAAAGTTTAATTAGTTTTCTTTGGTGTTGAACCGGTTAAAGAATGAATATTAGCAGAAAGAAACCATTTCATGTTCGATCTTAATGACAGGTTTTCTGAAAAAATTTTTTTTTAAATTTCCAATACATATCTGGAATTGATTAGAAACAAAAAGTTAGTACCGATTTTCAAGTTTCCATTTGTTATCCATATAAATTAATCTAGAAAGAAGGCCTGTCTTTCATTTTTCCTTTCTAATCCCAGCCCGATTCAATTACTTATCAATGCAGGCCATTTTAGTGCTTCTAATAAAATCTAAAACGGACGTACTTCTTGGAATGTTGCACATCTAAAATTTCTTACACTAATTCAAGCAATAAAGAACAATTCATAGCATAAATTGCATACAAAGTTTTTATCAGTTTTTTTCTGAAGCCAAACTTTCATTAATATATAATTTGATATATCAACCTTGATTGTTATGATCAAAACGTTTCGGCCGTTGTACCTTACAGCCTTCTTAAGGTGCCTGTATTCGTAGTCGGCACAACGGCTGAAACATTGTTAGTTCGAACAGAAAAACATATCAAATAGAAACCTGAAGAAGGCCAAAATGCAAGATGGCCGAAACGTTTTGAGGAAAATAACCAATATGATCATGCTGATCTGAATAGCAAAATATATAATAAAAAATATTCCTAAAGAAAGCCGAATCACACACCAACTGAAACGTTACGAGCATAATAACTAAAATGTGTATGATGATCTGAATATCAAGGCATATAATAAAATAGACATCTGAAGAAGATCAAACCGTAAAAATGTCGAAACTTTGTGAGTAAAATAACCAAAATCAGTATGATAGTTGGAATAGCAAAGCATATAATAAAATAGACATCTGAAGAAGATCAAACCGTAAAAATATCGAAAAGTTGTGATTAAAATAACCCAAATCAGTATGATATTTTGAATAGAAAAGCATATAATAAAATAGACATCTGAAGAAGATCAAACCGTAAAAATATCGAAACGTTGTGAGTAAAATAACCGCAATCAACATGACGGTTGAAATATCAAAGCATATAATAAAATAGACATCTGAAGAAGGCCAAAAGGTAAAAGAGCTGAAACGTCAAGAATATAATAAACAAAGATGAACATAAAGGTCGGGAAAGTAAATCATCTAATGTACTAGACATCTGAAGAAGGCTAAAATGTAAAACGGCTGAAACGTTGTTAATAAAATAACCAAAACGAGCTAGAAATTCATATAATAAAACAGACGTCTGAAGAAGGCCAAACGTAAAACGATCGAAACCCAAATGAGTATACTGGTCCGAATAGCAAATTGTATAATCCATTACAATTATATTATTTCCGGCGTTTTTTTTTTTTTTTTTTTTTTTAATAATAAATATTTACTTAATATTATATTTGCATTTACTGTTACGTATATATTTATATATGTCATATTATATACGATGTAAACATTTCTTGAGAGAGGATAAGATTTGAGTAGTACGACGCTAGTGTATTAATGAAACAAAAATAAAGTTGAATAAAAGTTCCAGTAATGTGCGTTGTAACATTGAACAGAAGAAAATAACATTTGATGTATCAATGTGTATAATAAATCCCTCACTAACATCTGTTTTGCTGCTTGCTGGAAATTTAATTTAAATCAAATGGAAAAAATTTTCTATGGGAATGTTTGTGTCCTTCCTGGACCCCCTTTGATCTTATCCAAGTACCCTGGGTAATGTGGTTTCAGAATATATATGGTTAGGGAGGTCTATCTCCAAAACCCTAGGAGGAGTTCGATAACAGACAGACAGAGACTACAACTTTATATATATATATATATATATATATATATATATATATATATATATATATATATATATATATATATATATATATATTTTATTTTATTTTTATCTTTTCTCTTCAATCGGGTAGATAGATTCGCCTATCATCTAATTCACCCTCCATTCTGGTCTTTAGAAACAGGAGTAGAGGGTTTCGATTCCATCTAAAATCTTTTCATTCTCTTTCACTCCCAGTAGTCCCTTGAGTCTTAGGGGCATTATCACCTTGCTAAGGGTGAATTGATTAAAAAAGAAGTTGAAACAGAAAATTATGACTAGTCAAAAGTTATCATTTCAGATGTTAATTTTAAGGTGTCATAATGTCTACACTTGGGAATTATGTGAAAACTTGACGGCCTCTTGTTTATTTCTCCATTTTTGTTTAGTTAAGGCTTCAAAATATCGCTGAAAGATTATTTAAAGACAATCTCAGCTTGATTGCCGATCAACTCCCCTGTTCTGTTGTGTTATACAAACGTGACGGTCGATTCACCATTATTGTTTTATATTCGGGCTGAACTGTCCTCTCATTGATGATTTGGTTTGGTTTGGTTTACGGCATATAAACCTCAATAGGTTATTTAATGCCGACAAAACTTTTATTGCTGGTAATATGTTTTTCTTCAAAAATCTATTTCTGGGAATATTTTTCCTTGAAGAAATCTATCTGGTAGTATTTTTTTTTTTCAAAGAATGTATATCAGTTTATATTACTAGTACTTTTTTTTATTAAAATATTGCTGATAATTTTTCCTTCAAAAATTATTGCTGTTAATAATTTTTTATCACAAAATATTTCTGGTATTAAAACCTATTTTTACACAAGTTTGGGTGTCAACTATTTGCCCATATCTGGGACCCTAACAGATGATATCACCCCGGGTCAGGGTAGACCAGGGAACGCCAGCAATTAAGAGGTGGTTCCACGCTCCTCAAAACCTCCTGATCAGAGGCCTTGCTGTTGGATGTAGTTTATCGTCTTACCCAGGACGCGGATGTAGTTTATCGTCTTACCCAGGACGCGGATGTAGTTTATCGTCTTACCCAGGATGCGAATGTAGTTTATCGTCATACCCAAGACGGTTCATTGATGACTTACACCGTCTGTTTTCAATTGTTTCCCTTGGCTTGGCACTGGCAGTGTCGTCACATTTAAATATTTAAATTTCTCCTATCTTTTCTCTGGCATCCTGACCGCCACTATAAATTTGTTCCGGAGACAGTGGTGTTCTCCTTGCGGCGGCTAATATATTTCGTTCTCTTCTCTGCATTTAAAAATGCTTATAATCCTTAAGAACTGAAGTTTGAATTACTCATTTCAACAGTTTTAATCAACTTACATGTTTCTTTTTATTGAATTATTTCCGCCTTCGATCTCCCTGACCTAGTCAATATATATTCTTATATATTAGTATCCTATATATATATATATATATATATATATATATATATATATATATATATATATATATATATATATATATATCTTGTTTTTTTTTTTTTTTATTGACCATGTCTCGTCAAAGCATTATCGTTACTAATTAATTCAATGGCTTACAGTCGAAGCGGTCGCTTTACTTCATAGATGGGCGCTTTGAAGTCTTGGCTAATATATCCATACCGAACTGGTGTATATTGTCCGCGATTTTAGGCCAATTGAACCTCAAGCCAATTACCCACCTCTTCCTTTCGTCCACCAGTCCTTAATGATTTGCATTTTGGACGTTGTTGGCTTTTAATCTCCACCATTTTCATCACGCCACCCATCTCCTCCCTGACATCTTTTGTGGTTTCAGTCTTAGTCCCTTTTTTTTCCTGTTTTCTGACTTTTTTTTTGTCGTTTTCGTTTTAGTCTCTTTTAAATGTGTTTTATTTGAATTCTTTTCATTTTATTATTATTTAGTATATTTTCTTGAATTAAACCAACTTTTCGAACTTGTATTTAACATTTGTTTATGAAAAACACTTGACCCTCCCCTCCCTGTCCAAATGATTAGTTTCGTATCTTTTTCTTTCTTTGTTAAACTCTATGGGTTTTTTTTAAATTTTCTTTCGTTCTTTTCTTTCTTTCTTCCTACGAAATGTTTACCTTTCTCTTTTTTTTCTCTTTTTCTTTCTCTATTTCTTTCTCTTTCTCTTTTTCTTTCTTTTACGTTTTATCTATTTTAATTTCTTTGTTTTTCTATTTTTTAGTCTTTATGTTGTATTACTTTATTTATTTTTAGTTAGTTTTTCTTTCTTTCTTTCTTTCTTTATTTTTGTTTGTTTGTTTCTTTATTTTTATTTCTTTATTTTTGTTTGTTTGTTTGTTTCTTTTTCTTTCTTTTTGTTTGTTTCTTTCTTTATTTTTCTTTATTTTTTCTTTCTTTCTTTTTCTTTCTTTATTTTTGTTTCTTTCTTTCTTTATTTCTTTATTTATTTTTAGTTATTTTTTATTTCTTTCTTTTTCTTTCTTCATTTTTGTTTGTTTATTTA